GTTGGAACCCTGAAGATACCTTAGATCGGTGCTATTTTCTTCAGGTCCCGGGAAGAAGGCGTATTCCGGATTAACACTTGGAAGCGAACGTGAATATTCACCTTAAATCGGTACTATTTAACACCCGCGTTCCGGAATATCCTACCGACTGCGCCAGTTAAATGAGAAACTCGAGACAAGTTGTTTTTAAAAAATGTTTTATTTAATAAAAACCGAAGTTAACAGCTCTAAGATCTACATTGGACTCAAACGAATTGTACAGTTTGAGTCGTATTTATAAGATTACATTGATTACAAAGCAAGTACATTTTTATGTGTACTAAACCTAATGTACAGGATGTAACTCGCAGAATCTAAAATAAAATAGGATGTTACATTTAAAAAAAAAATTATGTTAAATCCGCCACACTTTTTACAAAGTTACAGACGTAGGTAGCTATAGTTTCATATTATATTCTTTAATTATCCATCTAAAAATAAAATATTGAAAATCAAAATAAATATAAATCCATGTCCAAAAATAAAAAATGTAAATAACGCTTTGAGGTATAAATTCGGTTCGAATCAGATAAGATATTTTATTCTTTACCGAGAATTAAATTCGAAGAATTCCTAGTCCCTACTTCTTTGCCAAATTCAATAGTCTCCGCCCCTTTTTACGTTTTAATTTCTGCCACCAGTCGGCAGCATCGACAATTATACATTGACTAACTATTAATACATAAACAAGGGTAAAAATATCGTATCGATTCGGCAAGTGAGTCATGCGCAATATCTCTAGATGGTTATTATTTATTCATTTTTGAACGTTTTGATAAGTAAATTTCCATATAACTTTCATTAATCTCGTTAATTTTATTTATTCTATTAATTATATAAATTATTGATATTAACTTTATTTTCCTTTAACATATAACTTTTTCTTCATGTCTTTATTTAGCTCATGGTTGGCAATCCATATTTTATCAAGGGCTCGTGTTTTTATCTGGCTATTTCTTTGTCGCAAAAAAGGTTTTCGTTTTTCTTGGAACTACCTTGGTTTGGTCACTTTACGTTCTAGTGTGAGGTACAGAGGCCTCGCGGTATTTTTGTCAAGTTTTTGATTTTTACCCTTGTGGGGATTTTCGAGTGTGCCTCAAAAATTACTGCAGCACTCTATCTTACCTTTTGTTTTTTTGGACGGTGCTACAGTTTACCGGTGACGGGATTTTCACCTCAAAAAGCTGACGTGGGTCAATCAAGCAGCCCGCCTTTTTTTTCTCATCGAGCACCCCATTCCATCCAGGGGAAGAACTAATTTTAACCACCTGAGGATTCGTAGAAAACCCTGAGTTAGCAGGGTTTTTCGTCTGGGCTAAAGAAGTTTTTTTCGTCTGGGCCAAAGAAGTTTTTTTGTCTGGGCCGAAGAAGCTTTTCTTCTCTGTTGAAGACATTTTCTCTGAACCAGTTTTTTTGTTGGAGCAGTTTTTTTGCCGTATCCATTTTGCTTTTCTGGAGGAGTTGACAGTCGACGGTTGACAGTTGACAGCCGACGGTGTCTGCCCAAGTCAGATGTTAATTTAGAAGATTTTCAACTTTTTGGTATCGTACAATTCAATTTTTATTTTTTTCTATTTCACGATTTAAATTTTGATGGTACCTACAAATACTGACCGTAGATAATTTTTTTCTTAACATTATAATATAATTAGAATAAATTTTCACATACACAATTCTGTTGATAAAATAATATTTCATTTTTTTTCTCTATTTAATTTTTTTTTGTAAATTTAATACTGCTGACATAATTTCTTTTTGTCTATATTTAAATCTATTCATTTTTTTTTATCGATATCTCTGAATTTTTTTTTTGTAACTATTAGTTCATTATTTTATTTATTTAATAATTATATTATTAATTATTAATATTAATGAATTAGCTTATTATTATTTATTTCATTTATTACTTTGTTGATTAATTTGATATATTATCTGAATTTAGTTGCGCTGATTTATACATATATTTTTTTTTGTAAATCTTACGTGATCACGAAAGGTACCTAGGTATTTACGTAATTTTACTACTTGCGTATTATGATATATATTTTTCTTGCTGCATAATTTTTTTTATTGATTTATTTAATTTAGTGTTTTCTATTTGGTATTTTCTATTTACTGTTTCCTATATTTCCTTTTTATATTTTAATAGAGGGTACTGAAACTAAATTAGTTGCTTTTATTACCTTTGGCCCTATGTCAACCTTTTACTCTAAAATCTAATAATATATTTTTTTATTTTAATTATTTATTTTTTTTATGTATTTGTGGAACTTGTGAGGCCCTAAATATATATTGGGGGATTTCTGACTTTTCCGTCTAAAGTCAGTGGCACTCTTAACCCGCCCCTACTCTCCGATTTTTCTGAGCTAGGGCATAAATTTGTTCACGACCAGACCCCTACAAATTACACAAATACTTATTTTTTTTTAATCGCTAACTATATAACTCTTTTTTATAATTATTTCTTTTTATATTTTTTCTTTCTATTTTTTTTTCTTCTTTTTCTAAATTGAAAAGAGCCAAGCTAAGGCCAAACGCGTGACAATGTCTTATCATTTACTTATAAATAAAAAAAAATTGCGTCAAAATCTCTTTTTATTCCAAAGTTAGTGAAGAAAGGAGTATATGCAAAAGTGGCGTAAGTCTATAATTGTTGTTCATTCAATGATGCTACCACAGGTTTATGGAAAACTGATCCTGAGACACCTTGTATTGGTATTTATATTAAGAATACGATTATTAAAATATTTATTTTTTATTACATGGCGGAAATATATTTTATGTTCATAACTGCAGGGCTTTATTTCAATGTTCAGGGTGTCCCATTTTGGTTGAAATCATACGGTATCTCCGTTATTCGTGAAGATATAAGGGTGGGGTTTGCACAAACCTTTGCCACTTTTTTGTCAACCGGAAGATGCCGTAAACAAAATTTTCATAGCTCTCTTCGTTTCTGAGCAACAGGGTCTTTTTGAAAATTTTGCAATTTTGGACACCCCCTGTATCTCTGTTATTGTTAAATGTATTGAGACGGTGAAAACTGTTTATTGTAGAACTTTTTACTTAGAATACAATGGCGTAGTGTGTTATTCTACGAAAAGAATATTTTTAAAAATATGAAGTAATGTTTTCTTAAATGGAACACCCTATATATGTACAAATATATATATATATATATAATCTGGCTTGCCATAAGCTTCTCAAAAATATATAACACTCTATATTTATTTTCATTATTTAATGCAATATTTAAAAAAAAATATATTAAAAGATCATATTAATTAGTAGGCCATGATAATAAAAGAAACTAAAGAAATATTAAAAGTAGTATATAGTATATTACTGCTATCTGTCTCTTGTTTTATTTTGAGAGCCACTAATTAATTCTTTGTATATTAGGGAAACTTAAATCTCTACCGTTATTTGTAAATCTTGGAAGCTATCGTATCGGAACTTTTAAATATTCCTTTAGCTAATTTACGTGAAATATACTTCAGAAAGATGGGGCTCCCCCTCACAACTTAACTTAACGAATTTTGTTAAATTATTATTTCTCAAATCAATTAATTGGAACCAATGTACCAATGTTTACGTAAAAAGTTCTATAAGAATCAGTTTTCACCTACTCGATATCATCTATAATAGCGGAGGTACGGGGGCTGTCCCAAATTGCAAAATTTTCGAAAAGAGTCTGTAGCTCAGAAACGAAGAGAGCTATGAAAATGTTGACAGCATCTTCCTTTTGACAAAAAAGTGGCACAGGTTTGTGCAAACCGCACCCTTCTATCTTCACGAATAACTGAGATACCGTATGATTTCAACCCAAACGGGACACCCTGGTCAATTCCGGACTACTTAATTTTGTACTTTATGCCCGTGGGCCAAACTCACCCGCTTATCTGCTTCATGGCCCTACTTTTTTTTACTTGGAACACACCATCGACGGAAGGTTCGTTTATTTGTAAGAATTCATTTGAGAGAATACCAATGATAATGATTTTTTTGGGAGTACTGCCATCATGCATCAGGTTCTTTTTGGTTATGAAGCGAAACTGATTACTAATTTTAACTAAAAACAAACCTTTGCATGGAATATTGCAAGAAATAAAGAATCAAAAAGGAACCTGATGACGGCAGTACCCTTCAAAAATGTCATCATTATCATTGGCATTCAGTCAAAACGAGTATAAATTAAACGGCAATCAAATGTTTTGTAAATGAGTCGTAAGTAAAAAAAAATAGTACGGCCATAAAGTAGATAAGTAGATAGGTTGACATAAATGTCAACATAAAAGTGATAAATTAGGAATTATTATCGTTACTGTAATGTTTAAAATTGGCATCGCAACAACGTTTAATTTTTTTTGCAGTACAATATAACGTGATGAATTTAGTTATCTAGAACGTTGACCAAAAACGTTAAGATCTGATTTTATTTTTATTTCAATCAAACGTTTACAATTTGGGTATGCAGAACAACGTGCGACATTTTTAAGTTGAATGTACGTATTGATGACGTAGTGATGACGTCACGGCAGCCATTTTTGTACGAATTGGTTCCAAACAAAACAAAGTACTGTCAGTGTCAGTTTGTATCAAATTTTGTTTTGTTTTAATAATCTTTTATGCTTTTATTTAAGTATATTATGTATTCTAAAAGTTATTTATTAACTCAAGGTAAGCACACTGGTGATGTATAATTTAATTTAGATTATTTTTAAAGTGCAGTTTTTATTCATAAAGTAAGGTTTTGTCGAATGAAATGAACAACATGATTATTCTAAAATCATTGTTAGTAGAACAACATGAGTATTCTAAAATCATAGTTTAGTTATTATATACATATACTTATTTTTATTAATAGATCATGGTTATGTGTTTTGCCCCAACATGTAAACACTACAGTGAACAAAGAAAATGCAAGTTTTTCTATTTTCCTAAGGATCCTATAGTATTTAAAAATGGATTCAGTTGGTGAGGTAATATCATTATGCCAATACTTATCTTAATATTCAGTGGAAGGAACTCTACTGAGTGTACTCAAGTACATTAATTTTAATACATTTACATACAAGTGAAATTAACTTTTAGACGTCAAGACAGAGAGCCCAGCATGTACGCTCGTCTTTGTAGCTGTCATGTTGTGAAAGAGGATAAAGAGAATCTTCCAACAATATTTAGTTATAACTTAAGAAAATCTTTTGACTCTTCAGAAGATGAATCAATCAGTGGCGAAGTTATGGGGGGGCTTGGGGGGGCTTAGCCCCCCCAAATGTAGAATTAGCCCTCCCAAAATGTTTGACGCTCTATGCAATACAAGCTCGATTACAGTCGGTCCCTGGTCTGTCAGTGTTAATATGTCACTCGATAGTTTAAAGTTTAACCTAGAAATAAATTCTACGAAAACCTAATTTGTGAGCGATCCTATAAGATACCGAAATCAGCGAGTCGTTGGCAACGTCGCATCGAACACTGATCGACGGATTTCTGGGAACTTCGCATTGGCAACTTCGATAATATTCCGGAACATAACATTCGACGGTTCTCTCGTAATACCACTAAGCGAGAGAGAGATAGAGAAATCATATATAAGCGGAGCGACCGTCCGTTGTTGATGTCAATTCAGTTTTCAGTATCGAGCAGTCGAGCCAGTGATTTTAATTTATTATTTTTTTTTTTTTTTTTTTTTTATATTTATGTATTATTAAATAGTTTAAATATATTCATTATATTCAAAGATAGTTTTGTGTTGAATATTGAATAAGACTATAGTGCTAGTTTGTGTAGTTGTTTTGAAAGAAATTATCCAGCAACGTTTTGTGTAAGGTACGCGTGTTTTCCTATTTAATTTAGAAATCATGTCATTTGCTTTCCTTGTTTCCTTGCGTTACCATGCGATAGTAACTGTTTTAGTAATATTTTTTAAAAAAAAAAGTTTTTTTAACTTTTTTTTTTTTTTTTTTTTTTTTTTTTTTTTTTTTAATAAAAAAGAATATCAAATGTTAAGTATTATTTCCTATTTCTCTCATTTCTAGTCTTTGAGTAATTGTTGAAGTTGAAAAAAATGAAGAAAACGACTGCAGACATCAGATCATTTTTTAAAAACTTAAAATCCATCCAATAACGACAACAACTGTCCAAAATGTGGAAACAGGGAACAAAGTGCTCGAAGGTAAGAAGTGAGAATAACTAATCACAGGGTGGTCCATTCAAGTTAAGACAGCTTAATATTGCACATCGTATATGATGTGGAGGTAGATAAAGAGTTTTGGGCATTCATTGTCTTAATTTAGGTTTTCACACATGATGACGATCATCACGATGTTACGAAAATGGCGTACTGTTTATCGTTTGTGACTTACGGATGCGATTTTTATCTCAAAAAACTATTTCACCCATAGTACATAACTTTGTATAGCATAGTGGTATTTTCCTAATAAAATACTATTTTTCCTTTTTCTTTCTTTTTTTTTTTTTTTTTTTTTTTTTTTTTTTAGTAGTATGTAGTACAAAAAATAGCGTCTTTTCGGGACGAGTAAGAAACTTTACCGGACGAGGCGCAGCGGAGTCCGGTAATCTTATGAATCACGAACAGTATTGTTGTACGATAGAACATAATATTTTTTTTTCTCCAACCCTTTTGATATGAAATTAAACGTATTTAATTTGTTGAATTGGATGCAATTAATTCTGACGTTTATTGTTAACGTATTCAGATCGCCCTACTGTCACTAATCTTTAACTATGTTCCATTAGCATCTGTGAGTAGTAAGTACTTCCTGAATTTGCTGAACGGCGCGCTGAGCTAAAGAATTAATATCGAAACATTGCAATGCAAAATATTCCAGGAAGTTTAATTGATAATGAATGTAAGCTGTTAAAATTGGAACCGGTGGTATTGTGAGAGTAAAATCAGTTGTGCGGAATCCAGTACGGGCAGTTGATAATGGAACATAGTCTTTTTGGTACGCGTACCGCAAAGTGTTTACTTTTCCGGTACGGTTGTCGTAGTGACAGGGCATTGTTCTAAAATCGCCTAATTTTTTTACAGATTAGTGTTCAAATATAGCGACATATCCGGGGGGTTGGAGAAAAATGTGTTTTTTTTTACATTTTTTTTAAATGAATTAAAGTGTATTTTATTTTGTATTACAGAACCGTTCTCCAGGACGGATCCACTATCATCCTCTAGTAGTTCCAGTATTACCTATCAAGGTCAACCCGATCAGCCAACCCATCGTCACGAGACTACTAATATTACCACTGTTACAGAAAAAAGTATTCCAAGTGATTTAGGCACTCTGCAATCAAAGCCGTCGCAACCAATGCGCGATACATATCCTTTGACCAGTTTTGGCTTGCAAAAAAGAGGATTTTCTGAAAAATATTTCACAATACATTCATGGCTCGAGTACAGCATTCAGCGGGATGCAGTATACTGTTACCCCTGCAGACATTTTGGCGAAACCATAAGTAGTCACGAACAGATTTTTACAATTGATGGGTTTAGAAACTGGAAGAAGCTGGGAGAAAAATTAAAGAAGCACGCTGAAAGTCAATACCACATGAAGAACAACAGCAAGTATGCTCTATTTCTTCAATCTAAAAAGGACGGAACAGTACTGGATAAAATGTCTTCTTCATCAGTTGAGCTAGTTCAGAAAAATAGAGATTACCTGAAAATAATATCTGATATTATTTTGACATTGTCACTGCAGGGAATGCCATTTAGAGGTCACGACGAATCTGATGACTCCTCAAACAAGGGCAATTACAAAGAAATTTGTGAACTAATATCTAGACATAACACATCATTTTCCGAATCTTACAACAAATATTTCAATCTCAGTAGTTCAGGTATACAAAATGATATTATTAATAATGCTGGAAATATTATACAATCCAAAATAATCGGCGAAATCAAAGAATGTGGAGCCTATGCAATAATGGTTGATGAAGCAAGGTGCTTCAAAGAGCAACAGTTGTCATTCTGTGTGCGTTACACAAAAAAATTGGAGATAGAAGAACGATTTTTGGGGTTCGTAGAATGTTCTCAACAACGTGATGTGTCAAGCTTGTGGACTTTGATAATAAATTTCATAGATAAATTGGGCCTAAGAAACTTTCCAATAATTGCACAAGCCTATGATGGTGCAAGCGTGATGTCGGGAAGAAACGGTGGCTTACAAGCAAAGATAAGGGAAATACATCCTGAAGCGATTTACATTCACTGTATGGCCCACAGACTTAACTTAGCTGTGGTTGACTCATGCAATGACATACAGGGATTAAAGAGTTTTTTCAATAATCTTGAAATCTTTTATTTGTGCCTTTTCCCCAGCCCCGTCAAACCATAAAACCTTCATTGAGACACAGAAGGCATTAGGAACCAAGACACTGGAACTCAGTAGGATTTCAGACACTACATGGAGTTGTAGGAGCAATAATTGCCAATCCGTTAAAAATAATTATTCCTCCAATTATTGTGGCTCTTAAATATGAAATTGAGGAAAATTCCAATAGAAACGTTGTTGAGGCGATGGGTCTTTTAACAAGCTTGACTACAAGCAAGTTTCTAGTTAATTTAGTCCTGCTGACTGACATTTTGTTAACTGTAAATGTTTTGAGCAAACAACTACAAAAAAGGAGAGTACATTAGGGGCAACCACAGACATCATAAATGGAACTATAAAATGCTTGGAAGAGAAAAGGAATGAGGCATCATTTAATACTTTATGGCAAGAGATTAAAAAAATAGCACAAGAAAGTGATGTTATTTTAGATATTGGAAGAACTTCCAAGAGAAAAAGGACAATGCCACCTAATTTGACTGATTTTGCAGTAATGTCGACTATAGGACGGGATGAAAATGAAGATGGCTGTATCTAAGTTTCTGAAACATTTTGAATGAAATAAAAGAATTTTTGGCTTAGGAATGCTCATTACCGTATACTTGACAGTGTAACAAATCACTTGAAAATCCGTTTTTCCGAAGAGAGTCAACGTCTAGCTATTTCAGTCAATAAATTTTTGGAAATGGATCCAATAGGAAGCCTGTTCTTCATAGAACACTACAAAAACTATTTAAACATTGATACGGAGTCTCTTAAAGCGGAGATGCTTGTTATAAAAAATTGCTCTGATAACAAGATCGGTGATAAGTTGTCAACCTCAAATCCAATTGTCCACAAAAAAATACATTTCCAAAATAATCATTCCGGACTGCTACAAGTAGCATTGATTCTTCCAATTGGATCAACTACTTGTGAGAGGTCTTTTTCAACCATGCGTCGCATAAAAACATGGTTAAGGAGTCGAATGAGCCAAGATAGGTTTAGTAAACTTTCATTACTAAACATCAATAGTGATATGGCGACAAATATAAACATCAGGAGATTAATTGATGAATTCCTCAAATCCGGAAACAGAAATTACAACTATTTTAATGCGAAGGTCTGGGTGTTTCTTATTTTATTTTTTAGTCATAATTTAATATCTGTATGTTTATTATTAAAATGTATATATAGTTGTACTTTAGTTCTGTTTAGTCATGTTTATGTCGCATATTGCACTAAAGATTTTAAGTATTAAATACTGTGTTTTCATCCTAATCTTACCTAATGTTATGATCAAAAGATGCCGGGGCTTAAGCCCCCCCAAAATCAGAGAGCTAACTTCGCCAATGGAATCAATGTCTAAAGGGTTAATATTATTTTCTAATCTTTTTGCTAATTAATTTTTTGCAAAAGTTAATTATGTCATAAATAAATATATGTTAAGTAATATCTAATCAAATATCAGAGCAAAAAACGAGGAAGATATGCCTCAAGCTAGTATCTGGGCTACAGAGTCAACCTCGTAAATCATTGACAACTGCTTGTGAAAAGGGGTTGCTAGAAAGTCAACCTCTTACATTATCTACAACCCCTTGTGAACAGGAGTCATCTGATGAAAGTGTAGAAATGCCTAGACCAAGCAAAGAATTGGAGGAAGTATCTGCTTCTTCCGGACCAACGACTCCAGCCACTACCGAACATTTTTCTGCATGTTGGAGTCGGAAATTTTTTTTAAAACAAAAAATCGAAAATTTATTAACAGAAAATTAAATTGGTGCTTCCTTTTGTACATATAAAGATAATGATCGCATTATAATGATATACACAGGAATTCCTACAAAGGATATATTTTTATCTTTATTTAAACTGTTTGAAAATTTAGAGTTGACATATTTTCATCAATGTTGTGAATATGCCAAAATTGACCAACTTTTGTTAATATTAATGAAACTTTAAATTAAATTTGCTAAATGATGACTTAGGCTTTAGATTTAGAGTTAGTAGGGCTCTCAAATATTTTTAAAACTTGGTTGTTTGCCCTACATGAGGTACTAGTTAAACAGTTAATGGCCAATATTCCATCTAGGGAAAAGAATAAAATGTGCATGCCCACTTCCTTTAGTCCCTTTACTAATTGTACTATTATAATTGACTGTACAGAAATTAATACGGTACAACCAGGACAAATGGACCGACAAAAGTCAACCTATAGTAGTTACAAAAATCGTAATACATTAAAAGCACCGGTGGGTGTTGCGCCAAATGGTGTTGTAACATTTGTAAGTCAATTATATCCTGGTTCTACATCAGATAAAAAAAATACACAACATTGTGGTATTCTTGACAAACTAGAGGCAGGTGATTTAATATTAGCCGATAAGGGGTTTTTAATACACGACATACTGCCCTAAGGAATGTCACTTAATACACCACCATTTCTAATGACACCACAATTCACACCAGAACAAGTGTTGAGAACGCGAAAAATAGCTAGAGCTCGAATACATGTAGAGCGTGCTATACGACGTATAAAGTTACTTTTTGATTTTTGAATTTTTTTTTTTTTTTTTTTTTTAATATTTTCAGAAATATTCCAAGTGTGCGCTGCACTAACAAACTTACAATTTCCTCTAATTAAAGAAGTGGAAAAATTGTTTGATAATTAATTTTTTAACATATTTATATCATATAATTGAATGTATAATAATTTTTAAGACAATTATGAATAATCTGTTTCTACAGTCTCTTTGAATTTGTGGAATGTGTATTTTAGTAACTTGTGTAGAAATAGCGACATAATTTTATATGTATTGTTATATATTTTTCTTTTTGACTATATTTTGTTACTAAATGTGAGTTTATTTATATATCTGTGTATGGTTTGTTAACTTTGAAATTAATAAACAATCTCAAACTATCAAAATAGAATTTTTATGTTTTAAGTATTTTATTTTTGCATTAGATACCTATTTACCAATATTTAAAAAAACATATTTTGTATCTAATATTTTGTCATTTATGTTGTTCATCTAAATAAATTAAGAACACAGCTAGATTACTGAAAACTTTATTAAAATTAATACTATATTACATATTAAACCTACTAAAATTAGAATACGTAACTGAACGAAGTACACTGAG